AGTTTATTATTTGAGGTTTGACACTGGGGGATTTATCATAATATAAGGAAGCTATCTCATGTTACGATGAAGCTCTTTCAATTAGCACTAATCCAATAATTTTAAGAAGAAAAGGTCTGAAAATGTTTATTTATTTTTAGCTGATTCATTATTTGAAATTGGGTTGAAATCAGAAGCTAAAAGGTTTTATTTAGCGGCGTTAGAACAGGGATCAAATGAACACAATTACATTAAGAAATGACTATCAGAGATATGAAGCATCATTTCATCTAAGATATAAATATGTTAGAATTAAATTTTTACTGTCATTTAAGTGCTTAATAACTTTTCTTTTTTTTTCAGAAATTCTGAAATACTGTTGATTGCTAGCTTTCTTAACTTTTCACACATAATTATTTTTTAGAATAATATTCTAGATTAAAATGAAAATGAAAATGTTAAGCAATATAACCTTCGTAGTATATGTAAAGACTATTTGCTCTTCCTGAATTTTATACAGATCTGTTGTGATAGAGTTTTTACTGAAATCTCAAAATTTGTCGTTATTGAAATCTCTTCCTAATTATTTAATGAAATAAATGTTGAATAGCGATGTGCAGTGATTTGAAATGATCTTTTAGAGTAGATATGATGATTTATGTAATCTGAGTTCAAATTAGGCATAAATAAAAATGAAAAAAAGCAGTTAAAGAGGCTATTAAGAATTTGGCTGCATACAAGATAGAAAATCAGATTTAAAAACTATACTTAAAAAGATTGAAATTAATTGGAAACATTGCACTTCTTAAAAATCGTTTGTCCTTAAACGTTGAAATATTTCAATACCAAATGATTAAAAAGATCAAAATTAAAATTAAATTAGTAACATGTAATGGCTTTTAGTTATCTCAATAGATTGAGCTGATAATTTAAAAAATGGAACATCCTTAGAATCTTTACAACATAGGGTTTTTACTTTTGTTAACAGATTAATTTTAATAATAAAAAATCTAAAGATAATGAAAAATAAATAAAGAACTAAAAGTATAAATTAATAGAAATAAAAAATGATTATATGATATACCGTTATTTAATAATCTTCTTGAATCAACAATAAAATTAAGACAAAAAATAATGATTTCAAAATATCAGATATGATAAGGCTTTCATAATTAAAATCGCCATCTATTCTTAAAGGAGTTAAAGATTTATAGTTACATTCACATCAGAAGATTAATTATTATAAGTCAATATTAGAGGTTTAGTTTTTATTAGTAAATTATAAATAATATGAAATAGTAATCAGCTCTTTCAGTTAAATTGTATAAAATTAGGTCTAGATTATAAAAAGTTAACTTTGTATTTATAATTACCTATTTAAGTTTATTCATGTATAAATTGATTGATATAAATATTTAAATAAATATGATTGAAAATAATATGTATTGCTTTGACCATATAGAAAATAAAATACTCAATGTTTGTATTGCAGATCATTAATGCTAAAGAAAGGTTTGCTAAGATTGTGCTCATAATTAACAAGTTTCTTCATAATAATTGGTTCTTATATAAAATTTCCCAGACTATATATTAAAAAAAATGTAGAATTTAACTTATGCAACTTTGGAATAAACATTGTAATTAAAAAAACATTTTACTACGATTTAGAAGTTATTGAATAAGCTAGGAGAATAGTTTTAAAAGTGTTTATCTGATTCATTAAAATAAATTGAGGAGATTTTAAATTAAATAGATAATGGTGATTAAAATTATTAAAGATTACTGAGTTTTTATAATAAACCAAGTGAAATCTCTTCAATTGATTTGGAATTAATTATTAGGTCAATTCACTAAAATAAATTAGAAAAATGGATTATTGACAAAGAATTGTTGATAAATCCAATAATAGATATGAAATGCTCTATTGAATAGCATTTTAGAAATTTTTAAACAAAAATATCTGAATAATTAAAATTACTTTCCTCAAATAAAGTATTATCAAGTATTATTATTCTAGTTTAAGCATAAAAGAAAACA